AGGAATCCATTTCTTTTCTCCTCTGTTACTAATCTTCAAATTTTTTAGGAATAAAGGCAATTACATTTAGCCCGTTTCATGTTGAGCAAATACTCAGACTCCAGATTTTCAAGAGATAACTAATTATCCAACTTGTCAATCATGGGAAGCATTCCCACCTGTTGGAGGCAGCATAGGGAGAGTAATAGATGAGATTTAATCTAACAAATATTCTATGATTCTTTGTATAAGCTTTTGTATAAGCAATTTGATACATATTTGGACTCAGGGCAACATATCAAAACATAGGTATGTGATAGTCTCTTTCTATTGCCTCCAACTTCCCTGGTCTCAGAATTTAAGAAAACCAGACTCAAATAAAGATATTAAAATTTTATTTTATTCTATTTTAATCTCTGAAAATACAATTATTAAAATTAGGGACTTGCAATATGGCTCAATGAGTAAATGTACTTACTGCCAAATTTGGCAACCTGAGTTCAATCCCCAAGACTTAAATAATGGAAAGAAAAAACAAACTTGAAAGTCATCCTCTACCCACACACATATGCCACACACATATGCCCCCCCATACACACACACTAAATATATTGATGAAAAAATTAACTAAGTCTCTACCTAATTTAATATTTTTATGTTGAGTGACATTTATATCAAAATTTGATGAGCTGATAAGATTAAACCACTTGTGTGATTCACTTCAAAAATATTTATAGGAAAGGAAAAGAAAAAAAGGAAACAAAAGTAAAATCAGATTTGAAAGTAAAACTCAATGTCCAACAAAAGAGGGAGTATATTCACATGAAATCTTCAGTCAGGTAAAATATTTATTTTCATATAAATAAAGGACATAGGTTTCCCCCACCCCCAAATTCATCAAGCTACAATAGCCTTTCAGACAAATTCTTACTGTATCATTAGATCATAAATAAACAAAAAAGCAGTAAAATTGCAATCCCTGTGTTTTTATTGTTTGAGGAAAATTTTCAAGTGGGTGAATATGACAAAAAAACTGTTTAAAAAAACTTTCCAGGTACACAGAGCCTTGAATGTTTTTTATAAAACATAACTGCATATTACAAAAGCCTGTGAAAGGCAGAAGACAACGCTCACCAACTCTTCAATACCAGTTAGGGGTTCTCAGCTACCCGCCCGGGCGAACTAATGATAAAGCTGGCACAGGGCTGTACGCGAGAAAAAACTCCAAGAAACAATCAGGAAAACCATGAGTAGAAAGTGCCCACTTTGGGGCTAGAGAGAGGGCTTAGCAGTTAAGAACAAAGGTTGCTTTCCCAGAGGACCTGCGTTCAATTTCCAGCATCCACATGGCAGTTTACAATTGTCTGTAACTCCAGTTCCAGGGGATCTGATGCCCTCACACAGACACACATGTGGGCAAAACACCTATCGATGCTCATAAAATTAAAATAAATACTTTTTTTTAAAAAAAAAAGGAAAAAATGCCTACTTAAAGAAAATCCCAGATCAAGCATTCATAGACAAATAGATATGTATCAGATGGCAATGAGAAATCAAGGACCCAGGACTGGAAAATGTTTATAGACGATAGACAGCTAAAAGGCTATCAGAGTAAGACAGACAGATCGTGTGAGCTTTACATGAAGGGATTTGGGAAGTGAGACGCGTACATATTTAACAAGTATACAATACATAAATGATTCACTTAAAATTGTCATATATGCATTAAATGTAAAAGCCCTAATACTTTCTCCAATCGATTTTAGAACGGGTAAGATTTTTAATCCCATTTCCCAGGAACGAGAAGGGCATATACAAACTGTCACTGGACAACTCTGGAGTTAAACATGATTCTGGGAGCCGGAAGATATCAGCTCGGTCAAGGATGTCCACAACACAGGTCCCAGGTGTGATACTGATTTCTCCCTTGCAGCATTTTGTCTGATTGAACCTAGATACATGCTTGATTCACCAGCAAGAGCTTCTGAAAAGGTATTACGTATAAACTTCTTTTATATGCTCAAAATCCATCAGGAGACAATTTAAAGCATTTTTGTATATATTTTGTGTGTAAAATATCTTCAGTAAAGTAAAACAGACCAAGTAGGAGTACAAAACAGGTGAAATAATTCTAAGGATTCTATTTCAAATGGATTAAAAACAGATACTTGAACCCATTTTAACAAATTTGTGAAAGAAGAAAAATCAACCCCATTTAAGTCATGATTTCTTTATTTTCTAAAAGTTGTCTAACTATGATGAATTCAAAGGATATCTAAAAAGATCTCTACAGTATATGACAGAATTCATTGTCAGTATTTTAGAGTATTGTAAATATTCAAGGATTCTTCCAATTTTTTTTTCATAAATTTCTTACTTTGCCATTTCATCGAGTCTTCCTTGATCTCACTCCTATTCTCTGCTCATTAGACCTGCCTTCTCTAATAATCCTGTGTATCACTGTCAAGCCTCTGTCTGAAATTCCCTAGCATTGGAAATACAATCTACAAGGTTGGTAGAAAGTAGGAGAAAAAAATTCTTTTCAATGGGCACACACACATACTTCTCTGCAAATTTTTCCCTTCCCCTAGAAAATCCAACACGACTACCATACCTCTCACTGCCTGAAACATTCCACCTCAGAGACACGCTTCTAAAGCCAACTCAGTTTTCCAAAATGCTGTCCAGACTAATCAGCTCAACACACTCTCTCATCTATGACCAGCCATGCCATCAGCCCACGTGATTCTCATAGTTATAATATCCTCTGTGTAAACCATGGTTCCATAGAACAGCTTCCTCTGTCGTGAGTTCTTATCATGATCTACTGTTTTGCCACAGACCCAAAAGTCACAAGATCCTGTGCTGACTGATTCTGCATTGCAGTTGCCAAAAGTGACTCCAAAAGCCATGCTGTGACCATGAGGAAAAGCAAGGAATTTCCAATGTCCTTGTAACCCCTGAATAATACCAGCAACTGCTCAAATGTTTTACTTCTTTCATTAGAAAAAGAAATCTTAGTTCATGGGAAAATTCTACCAAACAAGCTGATACTCAATTGCAACGAGTGTGAACACAAGTCAGTAATTTCTCCAAGTACCAATTTCTTCAGCTATAAGTGTGACTTCACCACCTATACTTGTTTAAGATTGGGTGGAACTAGCCGGGTAGTGGTGACAGCGCACACCTATAATCCCAGCACTTGGGAGGCAAAGGCAGGCAGATCTCTGTGAGTTCGAGGCCAGCCTGGTGTATAAGAGCGAGTTCCAGGACAGGCTCCAAAACTACAGAGAAACCCTGTTTCAAACAACAACAACAAAAATGAAAACAAACAACAAAAAAAAGATTAGGTGGAATTCATGCCAAATGCCCAGTACAGAAGGAGTAATAACCAATATTAGTCATTTTATGTTGCCAGCTGCCGTCCTCTGGCATTGTTTGAGTACACATTGAGGGCTCAGCCAGTCAGTAGGTTCTTAAAGGCATATATGCTGCACTACATACACCTTTACAGAATGTACCACTTAAAAGGTAACAATCCTGGAGCCAGGGAGATGGCTTGGTGGCTAAGGTGCTTGCTGCACTTCCAAAAGATGCAAGATCGGTTCCCAGTACCCACTCACAACCACCTATCACTCCAGCTCTAGGGGATCTGATGCCCTCTTGGGGCCGCCATATATACACACATTTTTCTTTTCCAAAAGGCAATCCTTATACAGCGAGACGAAGATAATAATTGCAGTAAACTGGTGCAGGAATCAGCACTAGGGAACATTACGTGCTCTACACATGCCCAGAGTACCCCGCGATGGGCCACAAAGATTTGCAGGGTAAAGCCGGAGTGTTTCGCTCCATAAACCAAATGTGCCTAATCAAACACAGAAGCTGTATAGGAATCCATGCCCTCTGGCCTAATCAAACACACAGAAGCTGTATATGAATTGATGCCCTCTGGGCAGTTGCCAGAGGTTTGTCCTCACCAACTAGCTGTCTCATGGAAAGGGCCAGCCATGTGCTTTGCCATACTAGAGGAGCTATCATAAGAAAAGCACTTCTCTAGGTTGCTGTAAATGGCCACAGTATATCTACCTATCTTTAAGTTGCTGTGATATATTCTTGGTTTCTATTTCCCTAAAAATTGCACGTTTCCCAAACTATCCCTTAGTTTAACAGTAAGGCAGACAATGACTTGAAAAGGTGGGGCATTGAACAACAACAACAAAAATTGTATGTAGGCTTCTCTAGTTGTGTTGCTATGCAAACTTAACCAAGGCATGACGGTACATAAAGTTTGTCATAAGCAACATGAAAACATTTGAATAGGCTCTCTGTTCATGCAGTCCAAAACACATCAAAGAAAAAATTATTCATAAATCCTACAAAACAAACAAGAAAGTCATGTAATCAAGTAAACAAATAAACGCTCTACTCTATTCAGAGGTGAGCCCAGAACACCGGGTCATTCAAGGGGAAGGGTGTGAAGTTTATCAGCTAAACAGATCTGTCAAGTAAAGTCGCGGTGCTTTGAAGTCAGATGAAATGCAGCAAGCAAAAGAATTACAAATCCATTCAGTGTGAATCAAAGACAAAAAATGTTTGTTGTTGGCACTGGAGAGATGGCTCAGGAGTTATGAGCGCTGGCTGATCTTTCAGAGAACCAGAATTCCCATCACAACATCCAGACAGATCTCCAGGGATATCTGAAGCAGTCTTCTGGCCTCTAAGGGCACCTAGACATACTATGGCATACCATGCCAACACCACACCACACCACACCACTCCCCCCCCCCACACACACACTTTACACACTATGGGAGCATCCCAGGGTTCCTAGGAAACCACCCGGACTCCCTGACGACTGTTTAACACGGGCCATCCCACTTTTTTCAAAAAGCTCAAGCTACCAGCTGCTCTCCCTCCAGGCCCCTGAGGCCCCCTCGGGCTACTTTGCACCGAGCCAGAGCCGCTGACGTCACAGCGGAAAGGGCGGGACGCTGGCCGCCTGGCCACGCCCAGGTCCTGCGCAGGCGTGGTTCGCGGCGCCTTCCCGGAAGAGCTCGGCGGTGGGCGCGGCGTGGCCGCGGCCCCGTGGGTCGTGGGGCCGGCAGGTCGAGGTAGAGGACACTATTCAGGGGAGAGCCAGGTGATGAGGCAGGGTCTCAGGCGTTTCCCCGGGGAGACAGGCGCGAGCTGGGCCTGCCGTCGGGCGCCGCGCTTCCAAAGGCCGAGTTTTCCCGTGTGCGGTCCCACTCAGGCTGCCCCGCGGCATCCGACCCGAGGCGCTTCAGGGATTGAGTGTTTAATTTCAGAAAGTTTAGGAAAGCTGCCTTCAGGGAACGTCTTAGTTTCCTCCCTCAGGTGGGGCACCTTTAGCTTTTTGTGCTTTTGGATGCAAGGTCTTGAGCCGAGGTGACGCTGCACCCGGTGTAAAGTGTGCCCTAGAATAGAGTTTCTAAACTCTCCAAACGAGAGTTCCTACCTGCCAGGCTACAGTGAGAGGACTGCTTTGAGATTTTCCTGAGTTACACATGGAAAACACTTCCCTTGTTTGGAAGAGCGGTGGTAGACCTGGGCAGTCTGCCAGGGAAGGAAAGACCATGGATTTCCAGTTGGTTCATACTTGCCTTTCTCACTGTCTCTGCGCACATGCCCAAGGGATGGTGATATTTCTGGTTTGAATTTTTATATAGTTTTTTTTTTCTTTCTGCCTGTTCAAATGTACACAAGTCTTACACCAGCTCTTGTTTGTTTCAGTTCTGTTCAAGGTTAGAGTTTGGGTGGAGGTAGAAAATACGAAGTGTGTTGAGTTTACCTGATCCATGGTTTTGGGGGCGAATCTGGCAAATGCAAAGAACAAAGCAAAAAAAAAAAAAAAAAGAAAAAAGAAAAAAAAAAGAAAAAGAAATCATTAATACAAATGGGTTTGCGCGCATTCTTTCCCATTGTACATGAAATGGCCAGTTTTCTCTTCTGAGAGAATCAATGGGTTGTCGCAGCACTAGAGTGACCAAATTGTAGAGCTGAACTTAGGGGAAAAATAACTGTTTTTATTATTTAGCAGAAAGCTTATAGCCCAGCTTTGAGTAAAGATGACTTCCTTGTTCACTCAAGAAATCCACCTTTCTAAAAGGCATGAAGAAATGTAAGTTTTTGAAAAAGATACTCTAAATATGGAGTGTGTGCTGGCTTTATTAGTGAAACATGCACAGGAAGACTTAGACATATTAAAGTGTCATTTTCTGACGTGAGGCTTTTATTGGAGATAATTTCATTGTCTCTTAAGACTAAAAGGCACAATTATGTTTTATACGTCTATATATCTACTTACTTTTAAAAAACTAATATCAAAATTCACCCATTCTGTGCTTCACAATAGAATGCTTTTGGTGGCAGGCGCTCTCGAGAAAGGGTCTTGTGGCCCAGACTGGTCTTGAACTTGCTGTACAATTAAAACTTATCTTGAACCCCTGATCGTTCTGTGTCTCCTGTGTGCTTGGATTAAGGGTACTTACCACCATACTTGAATCTTTTTTTTCTTCTAAATTAAAAAAATTTTAAAGTTTATTACTTGAGATTCTCTCTCTCTCTCTGTCTCTCTCTCTCTCTCTCTCTCTCTCTCTCTCTCTCTCTCTCTCTCTCTCTCTCTGTGGTGTATAATTATACATGTGTGAATACATGGGGCCCAGAAGAGGGTGAGAGGGTATCAGAACCCCTGGAGCTAAGAGCTACAGGCAAGTGTTTACTGCTTCATGTGGGTGCTGAGAACTAAACGCAAGTCCTCTAGAAAAGCAAGAGCCATCTCTCCAGCTCCAAGCTTTGCTTTCAGTAGACTTGAGGCCTCTTATCTTGGGCTGTCATTATGTTCATGGAGCATGACTTGTACAGCCACAGCCCCTGCATTCTCTCTAATGTTCTGATGTCATAGTCTAATCATTTTTCACTTGGTCCAGCATATTGTATAGCTAGCCATGATCTTATATTTAATCTTCTTTGACTATCTGTGAGCTTTCAGATTTTTCTGTTGTCTGATTACCAAGTCCTGCCCTTTGCTGTTCTAATACGCTATTCTCATAAGAACAAAAATAAAATAAATGTTCATCAACCTCGGTTTCTAGTTCTACATTCAAGATAGGCCCATGAAACTTCTTTGACAACCTTCTTGACTTACTATTTTTCTGTATACCACTTACGTATTTTTAACCATTGTACATGATTTCTTATCATTTAGAGGACCCAAAAACTTATAAAATGAACAAGAAACTTTTCAAGTGTATTATATATAATGAAATAGTCAAACAATTTACTCATAACTTTCCATCGTTCTTCAAGCACAGGTTTACCTTGTGGGCATGCAGGCATTTATACATACTGCCTCTCACTCATATATCAAACCATCATCTTTCTCTTGGAAAAAGAGATAAAAAATATTTTTATTGCTTCTTCAAACATATGGAAGTTTAGCACAATTCTAAATGTGTAACATGAGATTCAGGGGTACTGAAGTGTTAAGCAGAAGGTTTCCTATAGCAAGTTATAGCAATGTATATGTGTGGGGAGGTATATATAACTATGTGTACAAGGAGCTATGTATTACAGTTTGCATTTTCACCAAAAATTACATGTCTTCAACACTCTAAAATACTTTCAAAAGACCGCAGAGGCGAAAAAAGAAAGGCATGTACTTATGACATATAAGAAGTATATGTTAATGAAAATAAAAATAATTTTATCCAGATTGACTTAAGGCATAGTAAACTATCTACTCTTTTTATTGTCCCATTGGTTGATAAAATAATCGGCTTTCAATCATGGTCATAGTTGAGGTGAGATACAATTAAAAAAAGAAATGGTGTATACTGGTCAAGCAATAAAATGTTTGCTTTTCAATTTTTTCCTCTATATAATCTCCATTTCTTTTTCAGAGTGTCACGAAGATTAAAGTTACTTCAGAAAATGAGGACTAATTTTGGTGATCAGAACGCAGGCAGGGCATGTCTCCTCCAAGCCACTGAGACTGCTCTAAAGAGGAACGTCAGCCTCTTGCAGGTAATGTCCATGACGGGTATAGATGTCTTCCCTTTCCTGAGGTATTTACAATGCCTCTTATGATTTAGATTCACATCGTTCCTTTGTTTTTAGTAACAAGCAGACTTAATGAGCCGATGTCTTTTTCAAGCCTGTGTTAGTTGGGCAAATAGCATATGGATTCTTGCTTTTTAAAAATGAAAAAAAATCGAAGTTTACATAAGCTAAATATTTTCTGTCAACCAAAAACTCAATGACGACAGGAAGAATATTAAGGTCACCTTTGTGCAAGAAGAAGCAGAAAGTGTATCCTTACATTTTCCATATTCTTCCGCTTCAAGGAAGGACCCCCAAGACCTTAAGCTGTGATGTGTTTAGATCCAACTCAAATACTGAGCAGCATGGAGACGTGAACCGCTTGATTTTGCCCAACTAATTCCACAGAATTCTTTGTGTGAGAGCTCACTTCACAGACTCCTTGGGATAGTTATGGAGTAGGTGGTCAAAGTGGATGATTGTGCAGGGCCTCACCATTTGGCCAATGTGCCCATTTGGAATAAAATCATATGTGTAACATTTTTGGCTGCTTGCTATACTGTGCTTCCAGAATTGTATGGCTTCATCCATAATTAAAACCCTAGAGTTTGCTTCCATTCAAGCTTCCAAGAGATCCTATGACTAAAACATTTGGTAGTAAGACTATATTATTTAAGTTATAAAGCAGTGTTTTCAGCTTTTTATTGTTAAATATTTTCATCGATAGGCATGATACAGCTATCTTCTATCCTCACTACAGGATAAAGGGAGAGGAAAATTCAGTTATCTTCTCAGCTTCTGGCAGTTTGATCCACAGTAATTTAAGTCACAGCCATAGTGCTACCAAAGCATTCTATATTGCCATATGTCTTACTTGCCCAATGGTGTTAACAATATTTATTTTTAAATGGAAATATATAGGGTATTCTGGAAATTGCTGTGAAAAGTTAGAGAAACTAAATTGGAAGACTTGATTGCTACTACCTGTAGCAAGTGATGTGATATTTGGTTTTCAAGTATTTTCCTTTTAATGAGCGAGCATCTGATGAGTGCCTAGAGCTAAAGCAGAGATGACAAAGTCAGGATAAACCAGGGTTTGTTCAGGAAGGCTACAGATTAGATGCTGGCCGAACTGTGCGAGCTCCTCGTGCCAGAAGACGGTCCCTTTCTGTGATCGCATACTCAACTACACAGGATAGACTGGGGACTGTGAAGAGGAAGAGTAAAAAGGTGCTTGGAGCCTCTTTAGGATGGAGGTTTCCCTGCCTTTTCAAAGATATTTTGCATGAATTTATGATATGGTATAATTTCTATGTTCTGAATATTAGACCTAATTAAGAGACAGAACTGATGTAAAGATGCTCATAGAGACTTCTGAGATGAAGCCAAACCTCGTCTGTGTTAACTAGTTAAGATGCTCCACTGGATTCTTAAATAAAAGCAGTCAAGAACAGAAAGATGAACGGCTCTGTTGACGTTAGCGGGATTATGATCTAAGAAGCTTAAAAATTCACAGGAGACAAAGTTGGGCATGTCAGAGACTGTACTGGTTTGAATAGACAATGTCCCCCAGAGGCTCATGTATTTGACCACTTGGTCACCAGTTAGTGGTGCTCTTTGGGGAAAATTATGGGACCTTTAGGAGCTGCAGCTGGAGGAAGTCTGTCACTGGGGATGGACTTTAAAAGTTGACAACCTCACTTTCAGTTTTCACCTTGTGCTTCCTGTGTGCAGTTGCTATGTAATCTCTAAGCTCCCTGCTCCGGCCTCTGCCATGCCTCCCCTCTGTGGTGGACTCTTACTCCTCCGGAACCGTGAGCCAGAATAAATGCTTCCTTAGCTGTTTCTGTCACGGTGTTTTGTCTCAGCAACAGGAACAGTAATTGATACAGGAACCAGAGAACATAAGGCTCAGTATGTAACTGTGATGTAGTCCTAGAAATATCTAAGTTCAAGAAGAACACAGATTTACAGAAGAAATAAATGTGCTGGCAAGATGGCTCTGCAGGCAAAGGCACTCGCCACTAATCCTAATGACCTAGTTGGATGCCCAGGACCCACATGATAGGAGAGACCTGGTTAATATGCTGCACATGTTCGCATGCGCACACACACACACACACTCACACACACACACATTTAAGAAAGATTGATCTTTTACTTAGATGTTTCAAGAATAGGGAAATAGGATGGAGAGACGGCTCAATGATTAAGGGCACAAGCTGCTCTTCTAGAGGACCAGGTTCGATCCTCAGTACCCACATGGTGGCTCACAACCATTGTGACTCCGGTTTCATGGGATACCTGATCCGACACCTCTTGTGACCCCAGTGAGTTCTTGCACACAGAGTCAGACACTCAGTCACACACATGTACACCTAAAAATTAATTTTAAATAAATAAACTATTCTTGACACTAATAGAGGTAAGGAGAGAAGCTGAAAAAATAGTCATCAACCCAGTTTCCTTATTTTTTTTAATATTTATGTAAAACTCAGTTTTATATAAAGTTCAGTTTCCATTTTATAAAGTTCTACAGGTTGGATGTGTTGATTTTCAAATCATGGGTCCATGGGTATAATCCATCACAAGTGGATAAGGAAGGGAATGCACGGGTTTTCATAGCTGAAAGAAATGCGTTTAGTTGCTGGATTTCCCCCTGGCCGTCATAGTGAAGAGAAACTAAAGGACAACATGCCCGTCTCTGTAACGCCCTACTCATCTTGTAAGCAGTTGCTGCATCCCAGCCGTGGTGACTGCTGCTAGACATGCTTTGTGTCCTGCCTTTGTGTTATACGCTGTAATCACATATGCATTTCTAAATCCTGTGTTGCTTTCATGGTTTAAAATTCCAAAGCAGTATTAATGGTATTAATATAGGAATCAGTGTATAAAAGTAAGATAAATAGAATTTGATTACCGTGGAATATCGTGTTGAGAGATTTTCTCGGGGGAGACGGAGTGCTTGAGAATAAACCCAGGCCATCGTGGATGTTAAACACACACTATCCGAGAACTGCTTCCCATTTCCCAAGAGAGCTCAAGTATGTGTAGGGGGTGAGGGCTGGGAGAGTGGGGATAAAATCCAGGATCTTTTACATGTGCTAGCAAGCCTTCCACTGCTGAACTATAGCCCCAGCCCTCACTTTCCTTTTTATTTATATATTGGGTGGGGTGCCACATATTTTTAAGACAATCAAAGGATAATTTGTGGGAGAATTTCCTCTATCCTCTGTGTGGATCCCGGGTTTGACTCAGGCTGTCAGACTCAGCCACAAGTGCTTTTACCCATTGAGTCATCCACTGACCTACTTCTCATTTTGAAAGAGAGTCTAAGTTTCCTAACTGCTCTTAAACTTACTCTATTGCCTAGATAAGCAATGAATGTGCAAAAAGTAATCCTCCTGCCTCAGTCCCCTGTGTAGCTGGGATTACAGTCCTGTGCCACCAGGCCCAGCTTATGGGAAAGACATTAAATATCATGTATATTACATTAGATTCTCATCGAAAGGTTAAACATTCCTTTTAACATTAAATGCTTTTCTGAGGTTTAAAAATTACATAAAAGTGAGCTTGGCCTGCCCTCCCTCTCTCATTCGACCTTTCCATGGTACCCAAGTCATGCTCTCAAACTATAAAAACCACTAGTCAGGCCCAAGTTTAAAGCGTGGTAAACCATAGTGTAACTACTTCCAGTGTCTTGTCAGGACCCGGGTAGGTTACCTCTAGGGCAGGCACCTTGGCGGTACCCAAAGCTTACAGATGGCTCTACCAAAAGCATACTATCACAAGCATGACCCCTACTACTACGCGTTATTTCATCTTCCTTTGGTCTTCTGACTGGTGTAATGAACATTAACAAGGGATCAGCCTCTTCTGAATAAGCATGAAAATGCACGAATTCAGATTTACATTTGCAATACAATTCTAAGCTACTTGGGAATTCTTCCCTGCTACTCATGATAGTATAAAGATATTTATTACACTAAAATGTGATATTCAGGAGAAAATTTAAGAAGACCTCGTTCTCACTGGGGAAACGCTTGTTTACTTACAGTCACTTATCACAAAGTTATTTACATAATGTATTTTGATCCCTACAAAATTTGCAATGAATTTGATAACATTTCTGTCAAGTCATTTGGGAGAAATAAACTATCATAAACAGGCAATATGAAAACAGAAGTGGGGCCAAGAAGAGAACACAGGGAAGAGATGAAGAAAGACATGTATGTGCCATGTATGTGTGGAAATGGCCTAACAAAGCCATTGTTTTTTGTGCTAACTTTAAAACTATTTTTCAAAAAGCAGTATCAAATGCTGGAGAATTTTTTAAAGGAGGCATAAAGAAACAACTAATCCATGAAATGTTTGACATCTCAGTAAATAAACTGCATGTGAAGAAAGACAGCTCTGAGTCAAACTTCAGTCAGTAAATGTCACAAAAGATTGTGGACTTGCAAAATGCAGGTGGAGTAACTTTTCCTGACTAGTATTCAAGAGAATGTCAGCCTTAAAAACAAGCATGATTGGTGTGCATTTGGAGGAGAGGGAGGGTTTTGTTTGTGTAAATACTTCTGTGTTATAAAATACACTTCCTCCTCCCCCCCCAGAAAACTCACCCTTCCACAGAAAGACCATCCTGTGCTTACAGAAGTTGTCCAGGCCCTGAAGGACAGCAGAGGATAGGAAAACATTACAATCAGGAATAGAACGAGAGCCTCTACTGCCATCATGGGGCAGTTGCAATTAAGCAGGAACTTCAGCAGACTGTCACCTGGATGGCTGATGACAAGTACCTTTGATGAAGACCAGAGAAACAGCTGAGCCCAGCATGCACCAGGCCCTGGGCGTGGTCCCCAGTACCATAAAAATCAAAGATGAGAGTTGTTATTTTTTTAGTACTTGTAAAATATCACAAACATTTGCTTTCAAAAGATTTTTTTTCAGCAACCTTCAAAACTTGGTATGCATTGTATGCTTAAGTACATCATAACAACCAGCACAGTTTAAGCTCTGGTGGGTTAGAGTAGTGACAATAGTGCTAAGCGTGGAAATCTAGAACCCCCATCAGATTTGAGGCAAGATCACGTCAGCATTCCTGATCACTGGCTGGACGTATTCTAAAGCCTGTATCTATAGCTCATGGCTATAATTTCAGCCCTCAGAGGCACCAGCACAGAATTGCTTCAAATTCTAAGCCAGTCTCACCAATGAAGAAAGTTTAGGCTAGCCAGGGTAACACAGCAATACTCTATCTTAGAAAGAAAAAAAAAATCAGATTTGTGTTCCAGTTATTTTATTCTTTCTCATTTGACTTGTGGTTTTTATTGGGTTAAAAAGAATCTTCTGCCCGTCAGTTACCTAGTTACAGATAGTTAATGTAGGAAACAGGATACTGAATATGTGATCGCTTTTATGGATTTAGATGTTCTTGTTTTATAGAGCTGAGAATTAAATCTAAGTCCTTGTACATGTTAGGCAATTGCTGAGCCCCATTTCCTGCCCTGTATTGTTATTTCTTTAAAAAAAAAGATTGGTTATGTGCTGTGCACATGAATGCAGGTGCTTGTTGAGGCCAGAAGGGGGCATCTTCACCCTGGAGCTGGATTTATAGGCACTTGTGAGGTACCTGATTTAGGTGCTAGGAACCAAAGCACCGAGCCATCTCTCCAGCCCCTGCACTTTGTTTTAAAAACAGGCCAGTTTCCCACCATTCCTCCAGGGTGACTTGTGAGATGTTGCTTTGCTTTTAATTTTCTGAGATTTGAAATATTTCAGTGCTTTGTCTTTTTATACTCATATTATGCCATTCTTACCAAATGGAAATTTCTCCAAGTTAGCCCTGAATGCGTTCGCCAATATAGTAACAGTCTTCTATAGTTTCCTTTCTTCCTGACCTGGAGGGTTCTTGCAGCCTTCTTGTATTTGCCATCCAGACTTGGAGTTGGTCATTGCTTCAAGGAGCTTTGGCTCCTTTTGGCAGGAAATATATTCCGAGCGCTCAATCTGGGCACTGGGGCTATTTATTGCAGCCTCTTTGATTTTCCTTTTTAAGATAAGATACAACAAGAGTTCCTATCAGTAATTCCAATTCAGTCAAAGGATTGCAAGGTTTTTAAGTTAAAACCATTGGTTATGTACCCTATCTTTTTCCCCCTTATCTCAAAACCTCAGACCGAACTAAGTGTGACATCTTGGTGCCTGTAATCCCAGTACTTGGGAGGCTGGAACAGGACTGCTGTGAGTCTGAGGCAAACCTGAGCCACAGAGTGAGACTTTGTTTAAAAAACCCAAATGCTTAGTCCCCAGGAGCTCCCCAGCACCAGCACACCTGTGTGTGCAATAGTCTCCCTGGTTTGGGGGGGGAGGGGCCTCCAAGACTTCCCAGCAGCCATCTGAAGCCACGGATAATGCCAAACCCAGTGTACACTGTTCTCCCTAATATCTGCACACCTGTAATGAGGCTGAAGTTCTAAGTAAGGCACAGAAAAGTTCCATGTGACATAGTATACACCTCTGGCCATGTATACAGCTGTCAGGAGGCCTCATACAGAAATTTCGGGATATAACTTGTTGCAGAATGTGCTAATCAAATCGTGGCATTTTTGTTCCGTTTGGTTTAATTCAGTCTGGCAAAGGGAAGTCATCCTTCATCCTGTTTACTGAACTGGTTTTGAATCTAAGGTATATGAGGATAAATTTCAAGTGGTTGTTTAACCAACACATCAATCTTAGGACAGTTACAAAATAAAACAAAATATTCTCTTGGCACATGTCAAAGCAAGTACTTGGTGAGCACTTGAATGAATAAGTCAGTAATAAGACCATGACACCGGGCATCAAGTGGAGACAATGAACATCATCCTGAAAGAACAGTCTAGGGACCTTTGTGTTCCGGCAAGCAAGGCAGGCATCAGGTAGCGTTACTGTGGAGGGTAACAGGGGCACCTGGCCTTTGAGACCCCAGCACCATTCAGCCCACTCAGCAAGGGGCTTTACCCAGTAGGGAAGTGAGTGGCGCGGTAGAGGGCCTAGCCCTCGTCTGCAGTAGTGGTTGAAGCTGTGTAATGCAGGCACAAGGGAAGACAGAGTAAACAAGGGGAATAAGTTGTCACACATGTTAAGAAAGCCCACGCCAAGGCAGCCGAAGAGAAGCATGAGAAGTCAGCAGAGCACCTAGGAGCCTCAAGTCATGGGGCTGAGGCAGCATGCAGTGATGTGGGGTGGGTTGAACGCTACATGATCTGCCTCTGCAGACAGCTGCTCTTCTGTTTGCAGATCTACTTCTCTTCAAGAGACACTCAGTGTCCCTGCTTTCTGTCTTCAGGAAAAACCTCGATAATATCAAAGCTGAGTGTCACACAGATCTGTACTGACAGGAACAGTGCACCTGTTCTAGGAGGCCTTGCAGAACTGGAGGAATGATTATTTTCTGTTTTATTTACTAATACAACTTTCACAAACCTTGTAAAGTCTCAGTGAACATCCACGAGGAGTCGGTCTTCTGTGCTGTCATGGCGGCAGCTTGTGTCTCTAGCATGTGTCTTAGCTGTAAGCTTCTGGTAAGGGATAGACATGCTGACATCAGCTTTTGTAGCCCTAAATTGTGTATTTTTCCTTCAAATCACCTTCCCCTAGACAGCAGGTGCATTAATGGTTGTGCAACTTTGGGGAGTCCCTTTAGGGAATTTCCTGTTTTTCTTTTTACATTTCACACCCATTCCTTGCTCCCGCCGCTACCATCTGCTCTCCTTTTTCTCCTGTTCAGCATTGGCTTCTTCACACCCCACTCCCACGCCCTCTTCCATTTCTCTCCGTCTGTCCAACAGCCCTCTACTTAGATTGCTCTGATGCGTGTACATGGATCTGGAGAACTTTTTGCTAGCAAGCAATTCACTCAGCTCAAAGGAGACACAAAGTGTGCCAAGCCTTGCACCCAGACCTCTGTGAACTTAGAATAGTAAGTGTGCTCTAGACAGTAGCAGTGCTGGTTTGAAGAGCAGTAACTAGACTCAAATGTTTCTATAACAACACGCAGAACTCTACATTTCTTTGCATGTGTTTAAGGTGTGTAAGGAAGAAAAATTATACCAGGTTAAGCTTAATTGCCCTGCTGTCTTTACAACCACAGAAGAAAATATTCTCATCTTGAAATTAAAACTACAAATTTAAGTGTAGTTCTTGAATGCTATTCTCTGAATGATGTACTGCCTGGCAATGACACTTCCATTGGTGAATGCCATGCACAAAGCAATGTACTGCCTGGCAATGACACTTCCATTGGTGAATGCCATCCACAAAGCAATGTACTGCCTGGCAATGACACTTCCCATTTAAATTAGCATTAAAATCCAGTCCTAAAGACGAGTAGATGCTCACAGCCTGAGGACTGCACATGGCCAAGGATAACTGTGATGTCTCCCAACACAAGAGTTGGAAACTTTTAAAGCATCATGAGATGAAAGTCAGGTAACTTGACTATGGAGTTCTCAAACATGGCCTTTGTAGGCAATAGTGTTGCTTCAAAATGTCAAAAGGTTAGATGTGTGGTGGCATATTTTAAAAGCCCTATTAGAAAGCACTAAAGTAACTCATTGATCAGCCTTCACTATGTGAAATATTTTCATGGCATAGCATTCTAAAACAGAATGTTGATAACATGTTCCATTAAAATGCTAGCCTCATCCTCTGCAGAAACTAAACTCTTCACTGCATAGCGTGAGTCCGAGTATCTAGTTTTGTATCTCAGCGTGCCATTATTTTATCCCTTAGCTTGTTTTCAAGTGATCTTAAAACTAATGTAACTCATGCTCTGATCATTTTTTTTTTTTTGCTGTGCTGATTTTGTCTCAGGGTCTCCTTATGCAGTGGAGATTGGCCTCGAACTCAGCCCTCCTGCCATGGTCCTCCCTCCCATGATCTGGAGTTACGGCATGCTTCACCACACCCAACTCTGAGCATTTTTAAAGGAAGCATGGTTTTTCCCTCAAAGTAATAACTGGTGTTTATCAGCTACTCAAAGGAAAAAGGTAGAACACAAAAGTACCACCAGTGCTCCTGTGCTACATAAGATACCCTGCACTCTCGGTGGAAGTGGGTTAACTGCTCTGTAATCAGGTCTCTTCCTTCTGTGTCCCTCCGTCACTGGATAAACTCACTGTGTATCCAGAGAAGGGCTAAGGTGAAAGATTTGGGGTACAGACACTGGGGGTGCAGGTGCCATTTATATTGTATGTTTAACACACTTCAGTTTTAAATGCTGATGTCTGTTGTAGGACATAGAAGCTGCAGAGAAGTCTTTACAGGCCAGTCTTAAGCCACACCCACAGCCTGCAGTGCAGTCTCTTGAGGTAAGACCCTGAGTTAACTGTAACGGAAGTAACAACTGCATATTTCCTGCAAGCTAAACAAGGGCTACACAGCCATTATTGCCCAGCTTTCCTTTGTCAGTAAAATAAGTGGGGAGGGTCTGGTTAATATTTTTATATCCACAGTACAATGCTTTATATATAGCTGGTAATTAAAGCATATCTTGAAAAAAATTAATCTGCATACAGTTGCTGTGTATATGTGAGTACATGCATGTGTGCAGCACATGCACATATGAAAGTTCACGTGCATGGTCACATGTTGTGCATGTGTGGAGGTCAGAAGACCACCTTCGAGAGCTGTGTCTCTCCTTCCATCGTGTGGATTCTGGGATCAAGCTCAGGTCATCAGACTCAGTGGCAAGTGTACTAACCTGCTAAGCCATCTAGTTCTCTAATGGAATATTTTTTTAATATTTGAAATAGTTGTTCATGTACACAGATCTACCTATATCTCCCTACCTACCCTCAAACACATACTTTTTAAAATAATTTATAAGTCCAGTTAGAGCTGCCCTCACATGCATGGATGTGAGGATTCACTGGGATAGGGACACACCCACCACATTCTCAACAAAAGATGAGTCCCCTTTCCCAGCAACTGTCTACTACCAGTAGCTCTTCAGTACGCCTGGGGCCTGGAGACCCTTTGCCTCATCCATGCCAAGACTTTGGCTGGCTTGATCTCGTGTGGATAGCCACAGCAGCTGTGGCTCATGACTGTGGTAGTCATGTCCCGTGCAGAAGACAGCATGTCACAGCCCTCACTCTTACCCTCTGACTTTTACATCCTTTCTAATGGAGCTGCCCTGCAGAGGTGGACAGTGTCGCTCCCAGAAGATGTGAGTTTTTCAATAAATGTTGAAGCCCGATAGGTCTCCAAGACAACAAAGCCTATTGCTCTTGGTTACCGACCAAAAATGCATGGTAAGATTCTATTGTTGACGACACCATACACCATACACTTGGCTTCCAGACATAGAGAAGTGTTTGAAACCAACAGGAAACTTCCTCCCTGCTGGCTAGGCTTCATAGTGTCAGAAGGTGCTGTGCAGTCTGCTGGGTGAGAAGAGACATCAATGGTCTTACCTAGTGCTGAACCTCACATGCCGCAATACGAACCTGCCAGGCAAGCTGTGCCTCTGGCTGCGAGAGTGAGACAGCTATTTGGTGTAACTATCTACTCTCTGATTGGGTTTGAGACCTGCTCCACAGGATGGGATTCTTGCCTGATACTGAAATCCTAGTCAAAAGTCCCGGACAGTGGAGGTCTTCGGCCCTAGAGTGCTGTTATTTTACTAAATAGGCATGCTGTCACATTGCTTCCCACGTGTGTATGCACGGACCTGTAGAGCGCGGCTGCTGTCAGCCTTGGTCAGTGGGCAGCAGTCAGTGCAGATGCAGAACTGGTCTCAGTGCTGAGAATGAGAGACTCGGTGCTCATCCCTGACTGGATGTCAGCATTAGCCAAGGCTCAGGAACATAGGATGGAAATTTTATAAAACATTCTGTCTTCTTGTCACACTGAAGCAGCTGTCCTGTGGAATATACTGGAGTCCTGAGGGACAGAGTACCCAGCCAAGCATTGCTTGCTGAAATGTAAGGAGACGCTTGCTTAGGTTGTGGCCACAACCTTCCAGATGTTCATCACCAGCACACCTGGTGGGAGGCTGAGGCAGGAGACTGCTGCCAGTCTCCATTGTGATGGGGTTTACAAAGGAGGACTGAAGTGAAAGGAGGCCAATGTCTGTCCCTGTGCTTACCACACAGTGCAGGGGCTTTATTAGCTGTTTTCAGAAGCAGGCTGGGGAGATGGTTGGCAAAAGGGAGCCGCACTCGGTCTATGGATGTTTGTGCTGGGTGGGATTTCACTACATATAGAATAGTTTCATTTTCTACTTCTAATGAGCTTTCTCAGATGTCATTTTCCCTTTTGCCCAACTGGGGATAAGAATAGACTCAAAAGTAGAGGCTGAGAATCTGCCCCTCAATTTTCTGTGTCATTTAGGGTAACAAGAAAAAGCAGTGATCAAATGCAGAAACTCTGGCACAGAGTTGTGCACTGGGTATGTCCTCCTTTGTTGAATTCACCAATGCCTTATTTTAGCACATACAGGGCCCTGACAATAGTGGTTAATTCAGCCGTGAATGGCGCAGAAGCCCCCTGTCTCTGGCCTTGGATGGTATTCTGAGCTGCTCCGGCACAGCAGGATAACCTTTATCTTAGGCATGTCAGGCTGTTTCTCAGGCCACATGCACAGATGTATAAAGAGATATTTAGAGTCTCTCACACCATCTTCCAACAGCAGAGCCACTGTATGTGTTCCTAGCGCTGTCTGACTCAGCACAGAATCAGCCCCAGAACTGATCATGTTGATCCTGTGTGCAAACCTTGGCCTCCTCGGCTGCCATTCCCAGCTCATCAAAGTTCCTCCACACAGCGTAGCAGCACTACTTGGATTTCTGCAGCCTGTAGACCATAGTCAGACAAACAGCATCTCTACTTGCAAGTCATATCCACCCAAATGGGTGCACTATGGTAGTTCTTTTCTCAACTACAAGTCTGAAGAGCTGGAGAGATGACGCCGCAGGTAAGAGCATTTGCTGCAGAAGCCTGAAGACCTGAGTTTGCACCCCAGCTCCCACCTAAAACTCATGCCTCTCACCCCAGAGCTGCGGGAGTGAGATGGAAGAAAACCACCACTGGGGGTTAGCTGGCTGCCAGACCAGGTCCAGGCTCAGAGAGACACTGTGTCAAAGGAACAAGGAGGCAGGGAATGACAGAGGCCTCCCAATATCCTTGTTTCCATGTGCACGCATGTACATCACATTCGTACACACACAACACAAGTTTAAGGAAAATGAGAATGTGTCATATCAAGTATTTTTTTTTTAAAGATAGGTAGGTATATAACATCCCTCTCACCTGAGGAGCCACTTACCAGCTCCTTACATTCAGTTACATTCCTGTTCCTGGGTCCAGGTCACATCATCTCTTAATTCTGAGGAAGCTGTTTGTGTATAATCTTCTGTGGTCATTTCCGTATGGATGGTCCAGGCTGCAGAGTCTAGACTAGAAAACAGGACTATTTAATACCAGGTGCCGCAAATGGCAGCACTGTTAATAATCACACAGCTGGCCACAAGAGGGCGTGCAAAATCACAATAACACTGAAAACCTTCCTTCTGCCGAGAAATGTGAAAATTAGCACTAGTAAGTACCCAGTTTCCCCCCTAAAATTAGCACAAAATGTTCTGTAGAGGAAATTTATTCTACATATATGAGTGTGAGAGTGTACATGTGCGCGCACACATACACACAGAAGATAAATACAAAGAGCTGAATTCAACTGCTTGCTATGTTTTCATACTTTAGTTTTTTTTGTGTATGTATGTGTGTGTGGTTTTGTTTGTTTTTATTTTCCAGACTCGTTACTGGGCATCAGTAGAAGAACATGTCCCCAAATGGAAACAGTTCCTTTTGGGAAGAGCCCCGTACCCAATTGGTGGTGAAAATCAAAATGAGGCAGGAAACACCATTCAAAATGAGGCACAGCGGTAACTTCACGTGTAACTCAGGAAACTAAAACAAAATCAAAACCAACTACGTGACAAAACTATGTAAGTCCTGGCGGGAACTTTAGGGAATGAGTGTGCTTTGTTTTGTTTCAGTGTAACGTCAGTCAGACCCCACCAAAAGTCTCAGGTTGGACTGTCTGTCACAGGGCCGTAGATTTGCCAATAAAAGTGTTAAAAACTCACACTAAGACAGAATATTTGTTAAGGATGGTATTAAGTCAGTGTCGTGTGTGTTTAGAGCATTCCATATCATTATACCCTTGTGCGGTTGTCTTCCCTTATTCCCTCTGGGGAAGCAGAAGCAAGATGCTGACTTGCGTCCTGATAAAAGTCACTTGTTTAGCTGCTCTTGTCCAAGACTCATCAGAAAGTGGATCCTCGGGACTGGGTGCCTCAGACAGACTTCCCTGAGATTGTAACTGCAAGGGATTCAGTATGTAGGCAGTTTCAGGAAGGCTCGGTATGGTCTTGGAAAAAGACCTCTGAAAGCTGGAAGTGACCACTGAATTCTGACAGGCTTCGGGACTGCCAACCTTGTAAAAACAAACAACCTTGCCTTCAGTTCTTTCTACTTGTCCCTCCCCCTTCTTTCTGTTAACTTTCTCTCTAAAGCTTAATAGTCAATAAAGAAATAAACTAAGAAAGCTGTGGGTCACAGCCCCCAGCAGAACAGCTCCGAGGCTCTTGGGTTCACCACTGCTTGCTGAGCACTAGACAAGGAAACAAGGCTTGGTACTTTAACTGTGGAGGCGGCTTCTGGGGAGGCTGCCTGCACCGTATTGCAGTGAACTGTTCTGAATTGAAAACTTGTGGTTTTGTTGTGGTGTTTAAAAGATTCTTCTTCCTTGTATTTTGTGTTGCCTTTAAGACCAAGTTTCATGCTATAACCCATGCTGGTCTTGAAGTCACAGCAATCCTCCTGCTTCAGCTTCTAAGCACTGGGATTACAGGTCTGAGCCCCCACACCCAGGCCATTTGTATTTTCAAAAGAAGACACAGGTAAGTTAAAACTCAGACAAGCCCCACCAACAAAAAGCCAGTGACGCGTCTGCCATGCAACACGTCCCTGTTCTCTGCCGTCTTGGAAATGTCCTGTTGAGTGGGTGTTGGTGTGGGTAACAATAACATTGTTTTCATAATATGTGCTGGCAGATTAGCGCACGTCTCGGCAGTGTGAACAGTTGTAATTAAGGAATAAGCAGCACAGGGTGTCAGTCCGCTGACAATTTCATCTATAGTGTCACAATACAAAATGTCACAAAATATTAGAGCTGTTACATAGCTAGAGAAAGTACCAGCTTAGAGCTGAAGGCATCTTTAAGAGAGGAGATGGAGGAGGAGGAAAGAGGAAGGCTGACTTAGCGGCCAGACAATTTTATACGTTCTCAAGACTGTCATGAAAACAAATTGATAATTTTTCTGTTACATTGCAGTTTGGGCTCCAGCCATCCAGTTGATTTAGCAGCAAAATTCAGGTTTCTTAGCAGCTCCAAACTGGTAAACAGATTTAGATGCAGGAAGGAGCAGGAGGAAGGTTTTTTTTTTTTTTTTTTACCATCCAGTCTCCCAGCATATGCACATAAGAAGGTGAATGAAGCAACGTGAAACTTATTTCTCTTCAGTCAAGTGAAAAAAAAAAAGGCTAAACATTTGTTAGCTAGTAAAATATTGTGTCAAGTAAGTAGGAACATTCCAAAATTAAAACAGTGGTTGATATGTTACCGTCCTCAAATATTTGAGCACACACTTCCTCTGAGATCTGTAAATTTAATCACCAGTAGGTTGAATTAAAATACAAAATGAGTGGCAGCTTCACCCTCTCAGAAGGGCTCTGTTTTGTTTCTCCTACACTGGCTGACTGGCTAGTTTGGTTTGCGTGTTTTTTTTTTTTTAAAGATAATCTAAAAAACCTGAAGAGAAGGTGTTTAAAAACTGCAGCTGAACCATCTCCCCATTTTTGGCTAATACTTCACAAATCCCCACGGACGACTTTATTCCTGGCCCCTGCAGAGCCACCCACCCGACCCTGCCTTGGAGACATAGCAGATAGCACCACATGGTGTCTGTTAAAAAAAAAAAAAATCCCACGGGCTCCGGATAGCCCATTCAAGGGCTTTATATTTCTCATGGCAAATTATCCTAGCAGGGAGGAAGAAAGGGATGCTACAAAGTATCTATTTCTACAGCTAGGACCTGTGAGAAGGAAAACGGAGAAGTCTACTCATATCTTCCTCCCCCAGAGCAATGGCTTCTAGATTTTTATTATTTTTAGTTACGTGTATGTGGGAGGGGGATGCATGTGTGCAGTTGTCAAGTAGGTCAGAGGCTTAGGACTCCCCTGCCCTAACCCTTGGCGCTGCCCAAAGTGAGTGCTGGGAATCAAACTCTGGTCCTTTGCAAGTACAATAGGCCCTCTCATCTGCTGAGCCATGACTCAGTCAACCAAATCAGTATCTTAATCAGAATAGAATTCTCTATGAACACAATGCATTTGGTTTTTTGTTGTTGGTTTGTTTGTTTGTGTTTTAGGATAATAGTGTTTGAAGAGAAACTGTTGTTTTGTTTTGTTTTTTTAAACATCAGAGATTTCCCCCACTCTACCCTCCACCAAAAGCCTTTCTAAGCTTGTTTGAAGCATAAATATTCAAAGCTCAGTTTCTGCTGGAACATTTCTGGTTATGAAATTGTCAAACTATAAAATGCTAAAATCAGAAGGAACTGTAGTTTTCCTCATACTTAAGAAATGGGGTTGGAGAGATGGCTCAGCAGTTAAGAGCACTTGTTGGTCTTGCAGAGGATCTGGTTTTGGTTCCCAGCACCCACAGAGTGGCTCACTAGTCTCCTTGATTCCAGGTTCAGAGAATGCAATGCCCTCTTCTGAGCTTCATAGGCACCAGCCATGAATACGGACATGCACACGCATGTGTGCGGGCAAAACATCCATACACAAAAATAAAACAAATCTGAAAAGAAACTCCTGAATTATAAAGACTAAGGGAACACCTTCTGCTCTGAAGTAGGCATCTGGTCCTCTGTAAAGAGCAGTGGATGAGGCAGGGTCCTGTGGGCACAGTCCTGCCTCTGCCACGGGGCAGGGTACTTTAGCTTCTCTGCTTACGGAGAAACTTAACCTGGTTTCCAATCTTGGCCTCTGCCTCATTCTTCTGACCTGTTAGGATAAATAAATTGAGCATGGGGGCATATTTATGTTTGAATAAAATTTAAACTTCTATTTCATCACTTCTTGTGTGACTGGAGCTGTGTGTGTATAAAGTTACCAACTTCAGAAGTAAGGACCAGACTTGGAAATCTGTGTGACACACATTCCGATACATAGAAGGCCATGAAGCTGGCTTCTTTACAAAACAGATTTCTTCTCTTTCCTTCCCTGCTATATTAATTTACTCCAAGCCAATTCATATCATTTTGTCTATTTAAAGAAGCCTCTTACTTAAAACCAAACCAAGTTTTCAGCTCACCATACCAATTTCTCCTACTTTTCAAGAGCAACTGCCCAAATAGTTTTTAAACATTTTCCAGCAATCACTTGTATTGTACTTCTCCTTTCATTGAGGTATTAAGGTAGCTTTCAGAGTTGCAGACGAAGTCTCCCCTTCAGAGTACGTACTAGCCAGGTGGCAAGTGCCAACAGGGTAGAAGAGACTGGGGAACAAGAGGAGAGATGCTCTTTGAGAAAGCTCAGGCTGGAAGGAGAGGGCTCCCCCCTACCCCTCAGTGTGGTGTTTGTTTCCCTTATAGTTTAGAAGTTAATTTGTCTACATAGGAAATTTAATTCCTCATTGCTAATAAAGAGTTTCTTGAGACAAACATGGAGACGTGTCAACCTTTGGCAATTCAGAAGAGGACTGATGTGGGGATTTGACAGCTGTCTTTGTGAGCACCCTCTCTAAGGGAACTGAGATTATATCCTCACCAAAACCCAAGAAAAGGAAACCAGCTTCCACAAAACCAGAGGCTAAGAATATTTCCGGACGTCATCTAACCATAGAGTTGAGTTTCCTGCTTCCTCTTAAGTTACAGTGATGAGAGGCTCTTGCAATTCTGGAGACTCAGATTCATCTATCAGACAAAGGCAGAGATGGGGAGTGTGTGCGAGTATTAATAGCAGTAGCTTAACTGCAGTGAGAAGGGTGGCGCTGGGAGAAAACCCCAGAATACGCTTATCTTAGGGAGCGGCGTCTCGCCCCAGGCTTCTGGATAGTGATCATTTAACCAGGTTCCCCGTGGCTTTTATTGTTTCTCCTTTAGTCTTGGTTTCCAATGCAGGAAAAATTTCCATATTTTTACACAACAGAATTTTACAAAAAAATATGGCAAATGGGAAATTAAAAAGGGATTCCATTTATGTCTTTTGTTTAGCATATCCCTATTTTATCTCATCTCCCAATATCATGTAGTTATTTTTCATACCTGATTCCAGATACGTAAAAAAAAATCTATAACGTATTTTGTACTAGACTACTCTATCATGGGCAAACAAACAAAAGATGCTAAAGGAAGCCAGACCCTGAGCCCTTTGAAATGCTAACTTCATTTGTAACAGCCAGATACACATAAGCAAGGTTCATGCCTTTGAGTTAAGTCCAGGCAGTTATTGCCCAAAGAGGTTTCAGTGGATAATGGACCACACCCATGATGGCAGTCCTTTACACGTCTCACGTTTACTACTACTCATTTGCTCATGGGCCGTATTAATCCCATCATGGGATTTGTTCATCATGGCCATGGGCTATCCTACTTTTGAAAGGCTGGTGTTGGAGATATGCCTGAAAACTCCTTTAAAAGTCTCTTGTCCCAGGTCTGGCACCAATAGCTCCTTGGGGAGTTGAGTTAGAGCCACAGCGTCTGGAAGACCTTTCTGCAATGCTGAGGATGCCAAACTCACCTCTGTCCAGTATCCCAGCACCTGCTCAGGCATGGAGTGTGGATCCTGAACACTGGAAATAAGTCTCATGCATTTGACTTTCAAATATTATTTTAGGATTCTTAGTGCAAATTAGGTACCTTTTTAATTTTTTTTTTTTTTTGCCTTTTGGTTTTTTTTTTTTTTTTTTGAAACAGGGTTTCTCTGTGTAACAGCCCTACCTGCTTAGAACTTACTCAGTAGACCAGGCTGGCCTCTAACTCACTGCCTGCCTCTGCCTCCTGAGTGCTGGGATTAAA